AAAATAATGAACGAAAAAGAAATAAGTAACATAGCAACAAACGACAACCACTGAATTACAGGTTCCTGACTCGGAGCTTCGGGCCTTGTGCCATCATAGAACAGGTCATGGAGATCCCTGGCAAATTCAGATTGTGGCGGGGTTAAACTAGAAAGGTTATTTTTTTTTTTGCTATAGAGAAGGCGTCCCACAAAAATTTATAAAAAAGCAGTATAAAATGTCATAATTAATTAGACTAGCATGACTAAGAAAGTAGGAAACAACTTCATTTTTATTGTCTACGCTTCATTTATTCTATGTATATGATACTATTTTACAAATTAATTTGATTGAAATGAAGAGCATATTTATGAACAAACAATTAAAATGCATGTTTATAACTGACAACAGAAAATGAAAAAGCTTCAGAACAAAATTATAACCAAATAAAAAATTATGCCTGTGACAATTATGATTTTTTGCACTAAGAGAATTGAAACCTGTTCAGAAATGACACCATAGTATTTGTTAAGTTCTATAAAGATGAAACGTATAATAAGAAATCACAACATGCACAAGTGACAATCAGTGTCGGATCCAGAGGGGAGTTCAGGGGTTGGAACCCTCTTTTTTAGACGCTCCGACTCGGGCGATCAATGCTTTTAATGGGGACATATAGTAGGAACCACCCCCTTTTTTTAGAAATGGCTGGTCCACCCCTGACAATACTTACATTATAACATGCACTGACCGTATATCGACCTAACAGCCTTACTAATGATTTTCTTTCAAATTCCAAATCATGCACTGGATTTTTCAATAATTGTTAAAATTCCAGCTTTCTTTAATAAGTGAATAAAATAAGGAGATGAAAGTTGTAAGATTGCAACAGTATAAAGGATATATATGTAAGCGCCTCTTCAACCAAAAACCTTACAGTTATCTAATTATGTTATAACAGGACTGGCATCGATAAAACTACAACGACTAGAAAATAAATGGTTATATATATACTCACGGGTTTGTCCTATTTCATTTCCAATACAAATAAAAAGACGTCGACAGGCTTCAGCGACAAAAATGGTGTGCCTCAATAGTTAATCGAAACCCCTCGGTAGCTACCACATCAGCAATCTTGTAAAATATCTCCGAAGGTATCATGTGCTTTATTTTAATTTTGAACTTCAGTTTTTTTTTATAGATTTAATGTAAGTTTGAAACCTGAATATTCAAAGAGTAAAACTTTGTTTAGATTAAAAGTTGTTAAAGAACTTTAAAAAAAAATTTTAAATGCCAATCATTAATTTTGTAACACTATCCGTGTTACGGTTTCCTTACAAACATAAAAAGTTAACTAATAAATATTCATTAAGCTCGACCAAGCAAACAAGCAAGCAAATTAAAAAGTTATATTTAAATAGCTACATTTTTCAACGCCCGTATATTAAAACACACAAACACACATAACGGTGAAATTCACTTTTAAATATTTTATAATATTTATATATAAGAATTAGTATAATAGTCCCAGATATATTCACTTCACTTTATCGTATCACATTGAACATTGAAAAAGAACCAGTATTTTGGGTTTTTTTTAATGTTTGATAATTACGTAGAAAAAAAATGAAGGATAAAAGGATATTTAATGAAATAGATTTAAAAACAAAACATCACTTAGAGATAAAAGAACGTCATCTTTAAGTTTTCGATTTTATTTTAAAAGGGGAGCAACCCCTGATAAACACTGGGTAAATTTCACCCGTGTTGTATCCAAATCATTCAAATCTGAATACGACTGAACACGGTCTGACAACATCTTAACGTAATGGTGTATCCATGGTCTGATTTCGTCTGAAACCGTCTTAACAGATCTTAATCGCTTGCTAGAACACTCAGTCTTGTTTATCTTGACATGCCTTAACGGACTGAATTATCTGATGGGACTATCGATCGGAACAGCGTCTAAAAGTATGAAAAGTCTTTACGTTTTTCCCTCGCGATAAATTCAGTCGATTCAGACTTGATCAGACCTATATGACCGTTTCAGACTGAAATCTAGCTACTACTGATACTTTAATCAAGAAGCTTGCTTGATTACATTTTCGTAACAGAAACGGAACGGAATATCAGAATGACCATTAAACACACCTACAATTAATACTCAAAGGATTAAACAAAAAGGTAATGCATAGATCACGGATTTAAGACATGCTTGTAAAACGTAATTTTTTTACGTAATATATGAAAAATAAACTGACAAAGGGAATGCCTTAATTATAATATTAAATGTTTTAACAGGATTCCTATCTAGTTTAAAATTTTGAAAATGAATATACTAGTAAATACATTTAAAAGTCAACTGTTCCTGAACAATTGAAAGGTCTTTCCTTTTTCCTTTTTTGTTAAATTGACACCATTTGAGACTGGTTTTTGGTACTATAAAGCACACAAATTGTTTTATTAGTGTGTATGGTTGATATGCTAGCTACTACCTTTACCATATTTAGAAAATAACCCTTGGTCATTATTAATAGAACTTATTTTATAGATATTAGAGTGTTCACATATGATTTAGGTCTAAGGCTACATAACCCCGACTTTTTGGTTCCACTATCAGATCACATACTGAATTATACAACCTGTAGTTACAGGACATCAGTATTTATTGATATATTTGTAGTCCAACTTGAGATATAAGTTTCTTTAATTCTTCGTCAATTTATCCCTTTCTGTGTCCATTGTATTAAAAAATTTAATCAACGTGTGGTTTGTTTGATCTCAGTTCTGCAATGGTTAAAATCCTATTATGATGTCGAATTTACTTGCTTTCCTCTGAATTTCCTATTATGTCGGCATGAAAAAAGGCGACAATGTCAGATGATATCACATAGAAAGAACACATCTTTTTACAGATCATTTCAAAAGACGAAATAAGTTTGCCTGCATATTGTTTGAAAATTATTAGAAAAACATATTCCACCACCAAATCTCGTGTAATACGATATTTATCCACTCTCGACAGTTGAATTTTAAATATTGAAAACGCTCGGCGAGCGTCGCGTTTTAAATTTGAAAAATTAACTGTCTCGAGTGGATAAATATCGTTTCACACTCGATGCAGTGGTAGAATCTATATTTATAGTAGAACATTAATAGATAACATTGATAGATCATCCTAAATATGAGTCTATATCTTACAGTGTTATAAGACTTATTGCATACCATTTATTAAAATATTATATAAACTGGTAGTATATAAGCCTGTTAGACATTAAAAAGTACAGTTTAAAAAAGCAGCTTTTGGAAAAAATATTACATATTAGAATTATTTAAAATATTTGTGAAGATTTTCGCTCCAGAGAGTGTTACAGGGTTACAACTTTAGGTTTTTGGGGCCTTAGGTCCATAACGGCTTGTCCAATAATTTTGGATCAATCCAACAAATGTAGATCTCTATAAGACACACATTTTCTCGATTACATTTAATCAGCCAACTTTTACAGTTATCGAGTAATTTCGATAACAAGCTAATTTCAAAATCTAGGTAATGACCTTGACCTTTCGAACTTGACCTCAATTTTAAGGTCATGGAGCAAGGACCTCAAATCAAAAGGTCCTAGGCCTTTACGACTAACGGTTTATGAGATTTAGCAACACACCACTTACGTCAAATATTTAATGTAACTCCTATTAAAAGTCAACAAATAACTTCGACTTTAATGTAAAAAAGTTGCGCCATGTCACCAGGAACAATTTAAATTTTTTTTTAAAGATATCTTATACGATTTCTGAGGAAAATCGATTAAAAAGTTTTCTGTGTAGGAGGGATAACCGCTATAAAGGAAATGCTATTGCGCGGTGCCCTAACCTCAAGATAGTTTTTGATCAACCTATAGTTGATACCTAATATCAATTCAACATGTATCGTACTGTTTCGGGGAAAGGTAGTTCAAGTTTGGCGGAGAAAGAATAATAATATTGATAAATAAAATCCACTTGTTCAGAGAACAACTGAAGGTCTTTCCACCACAAATAGACATATCAAGACAACAAAATATACCATTTTGGTGTAAAATGTCAATTCTTGGGTCAGATAATAGCTAAATCTATACTGATTCCAAAATATATGATTTTTCCATACTTTTGCTACAAATAAGTGAGATAAGTAGGTACTTCCTATTATATAGTTAACATATTCTGTTTTGTGTTTTGTATTTTGTTCTTTTTCATCGGATAGACAGCGGTTATATAGAGCTAACACAATAAGTTTTATATAATTCGTCTTAAATTTAGCCAAACAATGTTGCCTGCAAAGAAGTAGGTTCGACAACGCCCTAAAATGGCCCTTTATTGTAGCTGAAAATTGAAATTAGGATTTATTGACCAATGTCACAAGGAATCGTAGATAATGTTATGACTAGATTGAAAAAACATCATTTTGTTGAAAATTTATGTGTTTGCGTTCTATTCGTGACGTCACAAACAGCACTCATTTTGATTTTCATCGAAAATTCGATGAAAACGTGTACAATTACGTTGTTTTTTTGGGAGAGGAAACATAGAGCGCATGCGTCGACAACAAAGATATTTAAGCCTAATGTTTGTTATAACATTTTACATATCTGACTTGAATAATTTTTGTCGACGACGGCGCTCTATGTTTCCTAGGTCTTAATTTGGTTAAAATACGGACGATTTTGTCCATTTTTGCAAAAATCTCTATTTTTAACCTATTTTGGATGTCAAATTTAATGCTTAGAAAAAAAAAATCTGGCAAATATAGTTCTATATAACTTTCTCACATGACCTTTCATCAATTTAAAACACATTTTATCCTGAAACTTTGAACTTCATAATCGGGGCCAAATTTGGCCCTTACCGAACTTACTTCTTTGTGTTACTTAATTTTTGTTCTTTCCTCGGCGGAATTTAAACCAGTATATTATTGAATGTTTTGAATCAAGAAATCAATAATAATTTTATAATTGATCATGATTTATTGTGTTATTTTTTTCCAGAATTAAAGGAATCATGGTAAAGACGATAGCAAGTATCTTGCTTCTTTTCATGTGTTTCGGGGCAGGTTTGTTTTTTGTTCTGCTCCATTATCAATTTCAATATGAAATAGATAAACTGAAATGTGCAAAGTATATCAAGTGATAACAAAAGACATTTGAACGAACATAGTCATCATTGTTCTACTTGTTTGCACAACTTTTCGGAATGTTTTGGGTTTCCATGCTTTTCAGAATGTTTCGGGTTTCCATGCTTTTCAACTTTGTATTTGATTTCGCCTTCAAAAACGGTTTTAAAAATTTGAGCGCCATTAATGAGACTTATGTACACGAAACGCGTGACGACGTTCCAAATTATTAGTCTGTTTTTTTTCTACGTGTTTTGCGATGCCATTACTAGTGGACGTTTTGTTGCGATTTTATCACTGGCCCAGTCGTCTCCACCTTTATATTGACATAACAAAAGTTCATTTTCTATAAATTTACTTTTAATCAGATGTTGAATTTACTTTTAATCAGATGTTGAATTTTTTTTTTCAAAGAATAAGGTAATTTTAAGCCAAAACAACATAAGACGTTGTGACACAACTGTTCGAATTATTTGTTTTCAATGTCCTATAACTTTGTATTTGATTTTGCCGTCAACTCTTTTTATTTGCGAAAAACCGCGAATCGTGGTCTAGCATTTCGTTTTGTTTCACCTTCAGATAAATGGTTGTACAATAAAAAGTCAAAAATCGTATTAGGTCTTAAAGTTTTGAATTTATATAACAGAGACTATATAATTTTACAATTAGAAAAACATATTCTTTAAAACAAACAAACAAAAACAAGATATGTTTCATATAACTGCTGACGAGTTTCTAAACTTCTTATTCATATTCTAAGGGGTCATAAAAATAGCCCCAACTCGTACTTATGTTTAGCCGTAATCAGTGTAAAGAAAAAAAAAACAAAGAGACAAATTTGCAATCAAAATCGGTTCGGAAACAGCCCTACAACAGATATTTTGCCAGCATATTTGATTAGTTTAGAAAAATAACAAATTTCAAGTTCTGTTTAGTTGTTATGGATTTCATTAGCTATTGTTATAACTGCTAAAGTACCTAACGCGATTAATAATATGAGTGTAAACGTTGAAATGTGTACTAGTCTTAAAAATTAGTGTGGGTTTGTATAGTTCCGTTTGTGTATTCAATCACTGAGCTACTATCAAACAAGTGAAAACAGTATCTAAAACATATTGACCAACACCTAGCATACAATGCATACTATAAAATGATATATATATACTAGTCTGCAGGTACAAAGGTCGTATAGGGCCTAACAGAAATACAATGTTAGATTGTCATAATGTCATCTGGTTTGAAAACTCTTAATAGATAATCTGCTGATCTTTTTTTATTTTTATTTTTTAGCGAGTGCACAATGCAGTTTTCCATGTTTCCGCATTGATGTAGGAACTTGGGTTAATGACAGAGTAACCTTAGAATTTTCGTGTTCAAATACGTCAGTTTTAATAGTGAATGGTATGGAGGAAAGGTCATGTTACGCAAGACGTGGACCATTTCTTGTATCAAGGTATGATATTCAATTTTTGCAAATACGATTAGCAGATCAAGATTAGATATCTTTTCATTACCTTTTTCACACGTCTGTTTGTGACATCAACCAGATAAAAAAATATGTATAATCAAGCCACTGCTTGCATCTACTAAATAACAACCTTCAGATGTTTCGAAGACATACATGCATCTAGATCTTGCGTACAATTTGTAATATATCAATATCTATATTTGCATGTTTTGTCTTAAATGATTCATTTAGGGCTTCAACTTTTAAAAATTTCATGCAAATATTCAAAATCTACTAAGATATTCTCATTTGAATAGCATGCTATTGTTTTTAAGACATGATCTATGTCTTTATCGAAAAGAAGTCTTTATATGTTTGAGATATCTTCCTGGAACAGGCTATGACTCATAGATAAATCAATCAAATTATAAGATTCAAATGTTCTTTTTAATAATATGTAAAATTAAGGTTCATTACGTCAAAGTTACGTTGCAACTAACATTTCTGATCTAAAGTGCTTAGATCATAATACCGACTGTTGATTCTTTTATTTTCTTAAGGTACTAAGTTTCGTAGATTTAGGAAAACATACATTTTGGGGGAATATATAATTTCGTGGTTTTGCCAAAGTCTGCCTAGAACCCTATATAAAATTTGTAATTTTTTTTTGATTATCTAAAGTTGCGGTTTATCTTTACATACGACATCTACGAAAATTTGCTTCACATGAATAGTAATTAATCCAAAGTAATTTTTAAAAGGATTGAAGAATTTTTGATTCTTTCAGATCTTTCATACAAAAGAAAAAATTTGTTATGATTGCCAATGAGACAACTCTCCACATGAGACCAAATGACACAGAAATTAACAACTATAGGTCATCACACGGCCTTCAACAATGAGCAAAGCCCATATCGTATAGTCAGCTATAAAAGGCCCCGAAATGACAAATGTAAAACAATTCAAACGAGAAAACTAAAGGCCTAATTTATGTACAACAATATGAACGAATAATAAATATGTAACACAGCAACAAAAGATAAACACTGAATTACAAGTTCTTGATTTTGGGACAGATACATAAAGAATGTGGCAGGGTAAGACTAGTAGAATATTCGTAACATATATACTGAAATATATGTTTAATGAGCTTTTATTGCAATAATAAGCACGAAACTAGCATCAAACGATTTATTTATATTCATTTTTGAAGTGTGAAGAAAATGAATTTTAATTCCAAGTTTGATTCTGTATGAGACGTTTGCATTTACGACATCAGTTTTCGTTTACTTTTAAAATTCAAAATCATCTAAGATAGGTTAAAAGGGAGATAATCCTTTGAGAATTAATTTCCTACATGACAAGAGTGGCCTAAAGGTAGAAAACGTAAGAAAAGTGTGTTTAATGTCGAAAGTTTTGAAGTCTCCTATCAGAGAAACTTATAGGTTATGAAAAGAACAGGTTTTTTTTATGTTTAAAGTATAAATGCTTAAATTTGTATTTCAAACCTTAACCTCCTCAATGATTGAGAGTAGTCGATTAATAATTAAGGAACAAAGTAAATTGATACCAAATAATATGATAAATTCTACGACGAAAAACGCATTGAAGATATAAGGCGCATTATTGGATGTGCAGAGAAAACCCAAGATTCAGAAATTGACAAACAAATCAGGAAAGGCCAACAAATTAATATTGAAAGTACTTCACGGCTAATATTTCTAACTTAATACTAGATGGTTTCAGTCGTCATTTTCTAGTCCAGTTAAACTAAAAAAAGACTCATCATTATTTTCAATGCAGGAATCCGAGTTACAGATTTATTGATTTGCCTCAAATCACAACAATATGTGTTCCGTTTTTCTGTATTTTTGAATAAAAAAAATGTATTGAATGGTTATAGTCTGTCCTTTTATTTTTACAGATCGGGAAATACATACAGGTGCTTAAAATATGCTGCTTATAACAGTAGAGCCAGCATATCCCTTATCTATGCTCCCGAACCTAGTGAGTAATTTTAAGATGCATACATAGCAGGATCCGTTTGCCGTACATTGATTTGCAATATTTGAACATTAATAAAAAAAAAAGTATAACCAAAATATCAAATTCCAAGGCAAATTCAAAAAGGGGAAGTCAATAAAAAATCAACGGGACAAGTTAAAAAAAACACTCCCATTTTCCTGACTTTCCGAAAAAAATGGCTGGTAAAACCTGGTTTTAAAGCTAGTTGAACCTCGATCTTGTATGATAATTGTATATAGTTACGTTATATTGAAAAAAATTGTGAGCAACCCAAAAAGACATGATAGATTAGCGTAAACATTTTTGGAATCTAGCAGACAAAACTGTGTAACGTTTTTTGCATTTGATACATTAATGAAGCCTTATTTCAGATACAGAGATATCTGCCTTTTGTATGTATCAATATATCGTATGCTTATGTTTAAAACAAACATAAATGACATAAGGAATAATTAAATAATTGTTTAAAGGTATACCTTGGAGGCATTTGTATTGTTCAGCACACTTCCTTGTTTGTTTTAGTAGGTATTGTAGCAACGTTTTCTGCGGAAAGGTTGAAGACAAAACGTACAAATCAAAAATATCCATTAATAAAAGCAAAAAACATATAACTAGAAAAGATATGAAATTATCCAAAAATACTCACGTAATATCAAAATTAAAATAATTAAATCAATAATATGAACCCCAAAAAGCAAATGCTAAATCCATGTGGTGTACAGTATTCAGTCACTCTTCTTAAGTAAGAAGCCACATTATTTAGCAATTTGTAAATCCGATCTGATTAAAATACGAAATTACCACGAACCCTAAACAGTCTTGAAACTTTACACTCAGTAATGAATGAGATTCATGTTGCTCAGTTTGTAGTCTTTTGTAGAATATTTTGTGCTTGTATACTTTTGTGAACTTTGGTTGCTAGAATTTTTAGATAACCAAATATCTGCTTTTATTCCAAAAAATTGTCTTCATGAATATTTCCATTTTTCTGAATACTTTGTACTTTCTTCTGTGACTTATATCATTAAAAATGGAATTTGAATCAATTACTAGTAAATGCTGGACGGTACAACATTACATATCAACCACAAAAACCTGACTCATGAAAAAACAATCTCCAACGATAAACACAATTACCAGACAGCCTGACCTTTTATCTAATTAACAATTGGATCTCTTCTTACTTTTTCACGAAAATCAGTCAGGCGGGTCAGGCAATGTCCTAAACAGATAACATGCTAACAATAACACTTTGTAAAAACAATCTATACGGCAAATTTTTAAGTGTAAACGGCATGTGTTGCTGGTATAACTTACAATATTGACGACTTCAAGTCTAAACCTCCTAAATGCACCTGTGCTAGTTCCCAATTCACATATAATTCGGCTGGCCACGTTATTACCGGAGACCACAACATTGTCAATAACACTTCCCTGAAAAATGTGTTATCCAAAGGTCCGAAATATCGTGAGCCTTAATCCATCAATTGGAAATACAACTTCAAAATACTGATGGATTCAGTCGAGAATTATGCCAGGCAATGGGTTAAACGCGAGAAAGAAGACGTAGATACTCTTTCCGAATGGATTAAGGCTGTGAGGTCGTTGATACAAATCAGAATTAAGACACTAAATGGGTCTATCAGTACCCATGCTACGTCAATCTTTAAAGACCCAAATGTTGCAAAACACTTGTCCTACCTCCATGACAAATATGTTGTTGTCCCCGCAGATAAAGCTCCAAACAACATTTTTTTTGTGTGTTAATCTCATTACATAAACTGCTTGATAAATGAATTAGGTGTTGACAATTCACTTGGAAACTCAACATATACCCTCACGACACTTAACATAGAGGAAATCCTGGATAATCATAGGTCTGTTCTATGTTCCTTTGCAATTTCAACCAACGACGAAGAACTGGATCTTCCATCACTGTATTAGATACCTAAACTACATAAGTGTCCTTACAAACAACGGTAAAGTGCCGAGTCTTCCAAGTGCTCCACGAAATATCTTTCAAAATTATTAACATCTATTTTATCAGTAATCAAAGCAGGGCTTCAAAGTTATTGTGAAACTGTCTATTCTAGAGGTGGCGTGAATCAGATGTGCATACTAAACAAATCCAAAGATCTTTTAGAGTACATACAATCTAAGACTCTCTCATCTTGCAATAGTATTAAAACATTTGACTTTTCTACACTTTACACAAGTATTCCCCATTCCAAACTAAATAACAAATTGAAAGAGTTGGTATTGCTTTGTTTCATAAAAGAGAATGTCGAACGCAGTTACAAGTATCTTGTCTTGGGGAGGGATAAATCCTACTTTGTAAAGAATCACTCTGATTCAAACAATAAATTTTCTGAAACTGACATTATCAAGATGCTTGATTTCTTGATTGACAACATATTTGTTACGTTTGGAGGACGTATCTTTCAACAGACTGTCGGCATTCCAATAGGAACCAATTATGCCCAATTTTCTTTCCGACTTGTTTCTTTATTTTTATGAGGCTGACTTCATACAGGAACTTCTTAGGAAGAAAGATAAGAATAAAGCAATATCCTTTAACTTTTTTTCGCGCTATATAGATGATGTTCTCTCACTAAATAATTCAAAATTTGGTGACTATGTTGAACGCATTTATCCCATCGAACTAGAGATAAAGGATACAACAGATACAGTTAAGTCTGCCTCCTATCTTGACTTACATCTAGAAATTGACAATGAACGTCGGTTGAACACAAAACTTTACGACAAAAGAGATGAGTTCAGCTTTCCATTTGTGAACTTTCCATTTCTATATAGCAACATTCTAGCAGCGCCTGCATACGGAGTATTTATCTGCCAATTGATAAGATTTTCCCGGGCTTGTATTTCCTATCATGATTTCCTTGATAGATGGTTGCTGCTCACAAGGAAGCTATTAAACCAAGAGTTCCAAATGGTGAAGTTGAAATCATCCCTTCGTAAATTTTACGGACGCCATCACGAGTTGGTTGACCGTTATGGAATAACCTTTTCACAAATGATATCGGATATGTTCCTTATGTCGTAATAACAATCCACTTCCTTTTTCACCACGAATGTGACCTACCGAATTAGACTTATTACAGGATCTGTAATACCATGAGCAACACGACGGGTGCCACATGTGGAGCACCTGCGATTACCCCTTTTTTTTTTTTTTTTGGTTGGGTTCGTGTTGCTTAGTCTTTAGTTTTCTATGTTGTGTCTTGTGTACTATTATTTGTCTGTTTGTCTTTTTATTTTTTGGCCATGGCGTTGTAGGTTTGTTTTCGATCTGTGAGTTTGACTGTCCCTCTGGTATCTCTTTTTACACATTAATGAAATTAATACTTGATTCTAAGGGCAGTCGTGCCTGAAAGAGATGGCACTTAAGTTAAACAATATCTTTATGTATTTATCATCGGACAAAAGAGATGGCACTTAAGTTTTACAATATCTTTATGTATTTATCATCGGAGGAATTTACAAAGAATTGCTATCGATTAGATATGGAATTACTAGGTCAAGAGTGTGTTTTAGTTAACATATCTATAAATTCAATTATAAAGACTTTGGCGATTATCTCTTCAATATCATTAACGATACCAATTCTACTATACCGGGGTTTATTTTTGTCAATTAATGCCTCATTATTGATCTTAAAGGTCAAAACTTTTTGAAAATCCCAAACCTAATACAAACAATAAAGAACTGATACAAACAAAAAAAGAATCAAGGTAAACATTAATTCAAATTTAGACAACGGAGCAGAGCTATGCAAGAGGAATATAAATATTTCATAACTGTTTCAATATGAATAAAACAATATGCATATTTTCATATACAGCCAGTATTGAAGTACTGCCTGCACGGCTTATGATACAAACATTTCTTACACAGTTTTTTACAAAATATAGAATGCACTTAAACTTATTTACAATTTACCTTTTTGTAGACATGTGTAGCTTTGTAAACAGGTGGTGTAATGAAATAATTATGAAAACAACTCGTCAAATAATTGCATGCGTCCGAAACGCTTTTCTGGATTTACCTTCATCAGGAACGCCAAAAGCCGAATATTTGAGAACCGAAGATGTATAAATAACTGTATTGTGTGTTCTTTACTATTTTCTTAATTTAAAATTATATAATTTGTATAGTTTAACGATTATAAAAAAATTACAATATTTGTGATTGTGATAAAAAAAAAGTGGACATTACATATCACCTGTGTTCCGTGGACACGAGTGAGATTGTAACGCAGATCTCCAGAGCTACTGAGGTAACCACAACAAAGTTTGGATGAATTTTAATGATTTGTAAAAGAACGAAAACAACAAACGTTTGTTATTAATCATTTCAGTACCGAAGCACTTTTAACTAAGATGGCGATACCCTCGCAGAGTAGCAGTCCATCAGCACCATTGCTAGATAATGAAAATATTTCAGAAACTTGAGACCGTGTCAATGTCAAAGCTATTAAATAGTTTCAGAATCAAAACTTAACGATAAAAAACTCAAACAAAAGTATGCGTTTGTTTGTATTTCATTTTTTTTTTTCAATTATTTGAAAAGATCAATACAAATAGATTTACACCAAAATTATTCTAAATTTCTGTATATATTGCTTTCAGAGACATTTTTTACAGAGCCATCCATTTGTGACGTTTGTACAGGAAGTTTTTCACCATTAGTTGCTGTCGGTAAATATACTTTATTCAATTTATTCATATTAGAACGTATTGTCTGTTTTCATACAGAGTCAAATTATGTTATACAAAAACAGATTTAAGGCTCAATCATGTCAACATGTCTTATTTTAAGTCCCGATGATTTGGGAAAAATAAGAAGAGGGCTGTAGAGATTAAAATTTCCATTGGAAACCACGCAACACTGCTAGTTTTGATATAGAAAAAGATAATAATTCGGACGTTGTCAATATGAAAAAAAAGTATTTATTGCATTTTACGTTGATACTGTTCTGTTGTTTATTATCAACTTTTTCCGAAAGATTTTGTACTTTTTTGTATAATTTACTTGTTATTCCCTGTACGTAGTACGGTTTACAATACTTTAATTATAATTAACAGAAATAGCTGTCGTACTTAAATTACAATTTGTCAAATTAACTGGAAAATATTAAATATACCATAGTTTTATTGTTCTCATTTTTTATTACATAGGAAGAGGTCAAATTTGTAAGTATAACTTTAAACCGTTCTTTGTTGCATTACAGAACTAGGAAAAAATCATCAAAAAGCAGTTTTACTCAAACTGTTTTTACAAAATAATTCATGGTATTCCATTTTATGCAAATATTGATGGCTAAATACATATGATTTATTGAAACTATCCCACGATGCATTGGACAAAGCATCGTTTTTCTAAGGAATATCTAGTCAATGGCAACCATTATAAACCGTTTCAATTCTTTTTATACATAGGAATCATCGCACATTTCGTATTTTGTGCTTAGTTCAGGCGTATGATAATAATATAATATCTTATATAGTAAACATTAAAATGTTATGAAAAATTATGATCCCACGAATAAAATATTATTATGTGAGTTTTATGTTCCCGTAAAAAGGCGGAAGATACCAAGGGGAAAAATAAACTCATAAGTCTATAGAAACTTACAACATCATAAAAAAACAGGACGAAAAGCCCCCTAAATTCACTTAACATTACATACAAAAGTAAAGACTGAGCAACAGGAACATAAATACAAACTAGTATGATCTTATGTACCTAAGAATAATGATGGGATCCTTCTCTATTATTTGCACTCGTCATGATACTCGTGGGTTGTTTTCGATGATGTCACAATCAAGGAAAACAGAAAAGGATTGATGTACATTATATATGTTCTGTTTTAGAATTATTCTTTTATGAATTCTATTGTGTTTGTTTTTTTTAAAACATTTGCTCTCGGATGCACATGATGCAGATAATTCATTGAACCATCTACATGAAATTTGTATTATTTTTGTGTAATTTAAGATATAAAGTCGGAAGTCCATTCTCAGTACATCTATATCATATCGATTAAGAAAGTGGTACTTCTCTAATTAAGTATAATCAAGTTGATATCACTAATATCAGAATGTCCAAAATTCCTAGTAAATATATCTTGTGTTAAAAATTTAACGTCAATTCCCTCCCAAGTCTTCGACGTTCCTCTGGTATTTAGAATTGATCAAAAATGCACTTTTTGTTTTTCATCTAAGCTTTTCTTCCTTTTAGCAATGCATTGTCTTTCTATCCTCGTTATATTGACCTTCGATATTTAGCAAGTGTTTATTTTCCAGGTTTATCAGATAATCATAATCCCGAAATACTTAAAATGATTGTTGATGTACTATTAAAGTTCTTTGAAAATATGGTCGGAGGGAATGTTCATCTATACAAACTTTATAACTTCGTTCAGTTTATATTTTAGTGGAGGTCTATTTTCGAAACATTAGAAATGGATTAATCATTTATATATGATAATAACCAATTGTCATGTCCGCCAGTAAAATAGGAATAAAGAAACATATTTTTTTTTCAGTCGAGCGTGCAAGACAAAGTAAGTAAAAATATCAGGAGGAAATCAAACAGAAAAACAATGTTATCTTGAAAAAATATTTCAAATTAGTATTTCAATAGAACGGGGTCTCAAGACAAACTGACAAGAGCTCCCCGGCGTACTGTTTTTCAAAAATACATCCCCAAGTGTGTATCTGTCTAAGAATTTTTAGAAAACAAACACATTCCATAGATAATCAAAACGCATTTAAACGTATAGGCAAATAATTTCCGATAGTTGTTTTAAGATATTGATATAGCTATGTCCAACACTATTGAAGATAAATGTTTTACTCGCTAATCACCTGTTTTTGTGAAACAGCAGTCATCAGTCCCCCAAAGTTAAGCTAACAGGTACGAACATGGGCGATCACATAGATTTTGGTAAAAACCAGTTTGGTTACTTTTATACTGTTTGAGATATGGCATACTGAATATTCTGTAGAAAAAAGTAAAAGGTTTAATTGGATGAACGTTATTATCGCAAACACATGTTTATCTTCAATTTCTTTCTCTTCAATACCTGTCATTCGAATTTTCTTTAAAACTTAAATGCAATAATATGTATTGCTACTAAAAGTGCCGTGTTTTATTACTATGTATATCATTGAATTGATTATGTTACATCTTAAAACGTTGGGAAATAACATTTCGATAAATACTGCAGTCATGACGTCACGTTACGTATGCCTTTCGTCGCTTTTTTAACAATTTATACTTGCAAAACCAAGTCGGTTACCTCTTCCTATTTCATATCAATAAAACGGATATTTCAGTATCTAGAACATATAACTTTTGCAGGGTAGGATTTCGAGATACATATTTCTGAACTTTTTATGCGATCTTAACGAGTATTTCATATATTGAAACTGTTTCGTATATAAAAGTTGCTATCTCGAAAAGGATTTCAATAACAATATGTATTCAAATGTCCTAAATTAATATGCCTTTATGCACCTGTCATACAAGTGAGAGGTTTAGCTAGCTACAAAACAAGGTTTAATCCACCATTTTCTACATAAGGAAATGCCTGTACCAATCCAGGAATATCACAGTAAGTTTGAGGTTTTGATATTGCCATTTGATAAGGGACTTTCCGTTCTGAATTTTCCTTCTACTTCGACATTTTTGTTTTTTACCTTTTTAGTTATTTTCAGGATACATACAAAATTTTATAAGAATCCTTGAGATCGAAAATGTTCATACTTGTTAATTCAATATCAAGAGATAACGCTTTATGCGTTGTAAGTCTATTAGTAATTACAGACATTTAAAATTAATGAAGCATTTTTGTTATTACTTAAATTATAATCTATTTCTTTTTAACAGTGATTTCGGCACGTAAGTTTCATATACTTCATAATATGTATTGTCTCATGTGAATTGATACCTTAAAATAATGCAGTGCTAATATTAACATTTTTGTCTTTTTCAATAACAACAAAACTTAACTGTCATGTAAAATTATAGTTTCCTATTTCCCTCGTCGTACGGTAAAACAGATGCAGGTAAATGGAGCATCCGTTTAGCTGTGATTGTATAAATTCGCAGCTATTTTGTGTTTGGACTTATTATTCTATTCGCAAAAATTCGAGTGACTATTCATAAAAAAATCTTAAGAATAAAAAAAAATCGTACGTCATGAACATTTCAGTATAATTCACGTAAGATCTTTTCGTGAAGCATACGTACATGTAGCTTGTGTGTTTGTCCTTAATATGCAAAGACCAACAGTATGCAAGTAACGTAAGCATTTGAATATCATCTCATTCATTGAAAGTAATATTCACTTACCGAAGAAGATCACTATAGTTGGTGTTTCTTTTATTCGTTTCACAAAAAGTGGTAAATCGTGAAATAAGTCGTAAGACATGTTAAAGATATGTGACATTTTCACAAATATTTACAGTTTACGATTTACGGGCAAATTACCATCTGGATCAAGTCAGTGGTAAATCTTTGCAAATAGCGGAGGAATATGTGACATGTCTTATGCATAATATAACAATCTTTACTTTAATGGAAGATGGTTGTTGCTATTCTGCGGTTTACATGTTGTATCGGCTATTATATTATTGATTTTTTGCGCTTCTCTGTAATGAGTGTTCTTGCGTGTGTTTGTGCTGTATTTCTGTCACGTAGTGTTGTCATTTTAGTGATTTTTTTTAACATTTAAGCGGTAGGATTGGCTAGCCATAAAACGAGGTTTAACCCACCATTTTTTCCTTCAAATGTCATGTACCAAGTCAGGACTATGGCAGTCGTTATCAAATAGTTCGTTTCTATGTATGTTGGCGTTTGTTTTTGTTCACTTCATTGTTTCTGTTGTTCCGTTGTTTTTTCCTCTTATAGTTGATGTGTTTTCCTCGGTTTTAGTTTGTAACCCGGGTTTGTTTTCTCTTACTCGATTTATGACTTTTGAACAGCGGTAAAATACTGTTGCCTTTATTTAACTATAAGAGATAAGAGAAACAACTAGACACAGGTTTTAAAGATATACATTGAATAAATAAACGTACCAATGGTTAAGATGATTGGAGTCTTAGATTTGTCATGTAATTTCACTCCGTCTGTGCGTATTAAATACTTTTATTCCTAAATTTTTCAGTTCCTGCCATTCTGTCCCAATAAACAGTTTATCTCCCTTGACGGGTGTAGAATAAAGAAACCAAAACAGTAAACTGTCAAGTTTAATACGTGTTTTTCATCGTGCACTTCAATAGAAAAAAAATTATGGAAATAAATACTCTCCTGATAGAGCGATCAGACAGACATTTCATAATCATTTACTCTATTCGTGGTGTTGCGTATTAATGAAATGGAATATATACCGATAGATTTATGTAAATAGAGTATCTATCCAAGACAAATTAGGATGAAACTACAAAAACTGTTTATATAAACGGATGTTGGGTGAACGTTAACGAGACACAAATCACACCAAACTTTTAAACAAGTGAACACTCTGAAATATTCCGCTGGCTGTACTGATCATAATAGAATTCATGTTCGAAGTCTATAAGAAAACTGTTTAAAATATGCATTGTGTATATAAATAAGAAGACGTGATATAAGTGCCAATGAGACAACTATCCATGCAAGTCACAATGTGTACAAAGTAAACAATTATAGGTCAAAGTACGGCCCTTAACACGGAGCAATACTCTATATGACTAATATAATTGACCTATTGCATAAGAGTGTATTTAAAATTCGAAATAAAGTGAAACAAAAATAAAAGAAACAAACCAACAAAATAAAACGAGGCTAAGAAAAATATAATGAAATTGTTAAAAGGGCGAAAGCAAATTAAAATCAATCAAAATACAGTTTATGATAACAAAACATATATTTGCTCTTTTACTCTAAAATTGAACATAACTGTTCTGTTTCAGTTTGGGGGAAAATATGAATCAATTTCATATAAGTATAATGTTGTTGCAATTTTCAAAAAGCTGACAAAATTTAATTAAAAACTACAAGTTTTCGTAGGTATAAATTAAGTTGCAATCGTGCTTCTTTTTGACAAAAATGCCACAAAAGTAAACTTTGCGGCCGTTTATCATCGCTGAAGACGCACGGTGACATTAATTGACTGATACATCCACGTCAACTGGTGTATATCTGTCTTATTGGCGATTATCCACATCTCATTCTTTTTATAATTTTATTTAATTATATGCAATTAGTGTAAAAACGTCATAAATAGACTTAGAAACGTGACCTTATGTTATGCCAAAATATAAGTATCAACAGGATGTAGAAGATTTTTTACACTTAAAATGTAGTAGCCATGACCATGAATGAAACAAAACTTAATGTTTTATATTAAGATAGATTATTAGACTAAATATTACAGCATAACTTTGTCAAATGTGAGTTGGGGTTTCCAAAACTTGGTGACACCTTTTTTAGTAAAAACAAATGTTTAACAGCCAAATTTTATAAATTTTCCATCATGATTCCGACAAGCAAATAGACAATTGTTCATTAATTTATATAATAAAGTCAAGAGTTTGAAGCTTTTTAAACGCTGTAGTCAAAGTGTTTCATAAAACAATTCCAAATTTTATAATCGTACCTGACCAAAAGTGCCGTCTGAGTTATAGTCTTGCAAATGCGTCACATTTTAATCTCTGGAAACTTGGGAATAAAATATCCAGATACGCAAAAATGCATGAATGGTCATAGAAGACCCTTGATAAGGAATTTTTGTATTGACTTAATAAGTGTGACACGTGTAAGGCACATGCCAGTGTATATCTATTGATCTCTCAGGGTTTGTAAAAAAAATACAAATTGTATGTTGAATACTTTCATATTTCAAATATAAAAATGGGAGCTCTATTAAAAATAAATAAAAAAGCAACCTAGGACCAAAAGATAACTTCTATTAGCAATGTTAGTCCCAGTTGAAACAAATTGTCCTGATATAGATTAATGAATAAACTATAGAAAGACATTTAAAAAAGATAAACCATTATATAAGAGAGGCTTGCAGCATATCAAAAAATATGTACGCTTACTTTTAAAGAGTTTCTGTGTTTTTTTTGTTTTTTCTTCATCTGCCTGAAAAAGTTTGTTTGAAACGGTTTGATCATATATCTTAGTACTAACTGATTTTGTGCGCATCGGAGTTGGAACGCGTCATCCAGATATATTGTACCACTTAGCTTTGCGGGATTGGTTTTCCACAGGTTTAACTCACAATTCAAAGGAAACATCACAATAATCTACCATTGAGGCTTTCATTTTCTACTGGAGACATCACAATCATCTACCATTGAGGCTTTCATTTCTACTTTTGCTTTCATAATAAGCTCGTCCCTCTATCAGCTGTACAGAGATCTTCTTAAAATCCAAAATGTTCTTATACGAACTGACAGTATTGGGTTCGCGCTGACTTTATTTTCAGACTTTCACATAATACACGTAATCAAATGTCGGTGCGGATTGATTCCGACACCTATGTGAAGCAGTCAGAAACTTGTTCGGTAAGTCATCCTACGACCAGTAGTGAATCGTACGATTTACGAATCTTTTTGAAACGATAGCAAGTTTTATGTTATGATATGGAGTTAAGAATATTTGGACTTACATCACGATCATTGTTTTTTGTTTTTTGCGTTTTTGAATTATCTTGTATACTGTTATGTCTATTAGGCTGATTTTTTGTTTAATTTTCATTTTCAAATAAAGTTCAAACAACGCATACTGAAATGCTTATCTCATTTAGTGCTACCCGTTATGATAATTTTTATTTCTATGCCTGTGTATACAGTGTTTATACATTTAACATATCATCGACAAGCTTTGACTTCTATTAATCCACGGAACGGTTTTGCCATATTGAATGACCGGTCTTTCTTTAATTAACACTTGGTCAACATCTTAATAGCTCTATCATATTCATTTACCGTTGTTCATATACTAGTACATTGCTTTGTATCATCTAATTCTATTTTAGCCTTAGTTTGTAACAGACCACCACTTTGCCCTATAACAGATGATATTAATGACATACCCTGCGTTGATTTTGAACCAATTATTGACGATGGATTTATGTGTAGTAGCTGTAGAAACAGATAGTGAAATAGAATCTACAGAATGAACTGCAATTTAGAAATAAGTGTAAAACAACATCAGTGTACGAAAGTATGGTTACTTTTCAAGTATATATATTGCGCAAATAAACATTTTATAAACTACAAAATGTTTGTTTAGCTGATGATAAAAAAGAGAAACAAAAAATACCAAAGGGATATTCAAATAAAGGCAACAGTAGTATACCGCTGTTCGAAATTCATAAATCGATTGAGAAAAAAAAAATCCGGGTTACAAACTAAAACTGAGGGAAACACATCAAATATAAGAGGAGAACTACGACACAACAGAAACACAATATTAAAATGTAACACACACAGAAAAGAACTATAATATAACAATGGTCACTTTCCTGACTTGGTACAGGACATTTTAAGAAAAAAATGGTGGGTTGAACCTGGTTTTGTGGCTAGCCAAACCTTCCGCTTTTATGGCAATGTTAAATATAACATCAAAATGACAACATTACATGACAGGACTATAATACAAATAAATGGGAGAACATACAGGACAGAGAAACTTACGAATAATAGCTAACAAACTCATAAATCAAAAACAAACTGACAATGCCATGGCAAAAAAACAAAATAAAACAGATAAACAACAGTACATAAAACAGAGTATAGAAAATTATGACTGAGCAAAACCCGAACCCCATAAAAAACCGGGGGTGATCTTAGGTACTCCGGAAGGGTAAACAATCGTGGGGAAAAGACTGATAGTTGTATGAAATTTGCATTGCGTTGTCTTGATGAGATCGTCTTTTAACCTTTAAACGTTTCAAAGGTGATGATACATGTTACACTAAGGAGATATATTGTAGTTGCCAATGAGACAATGTACAGAAACCAAATGACGAGGATACATGTAATTATAGTCATTAGTCAACGTCCGATCTTCAACATGGGGCAAAATATATATTGTATAGTAAGTTTAAAAGTTGCTGTTACAAAATTAAAAAGTAAATATTTTAAATTAAGAAATATATTGCCCTCATGTAAATCTCTGATTCATTTTCGGGCTTTGAAATAGATTTGTTGTCGTATTTGATTAACAAGCCCTTTATATTGAATTTTCCAACATTTTGCCATCGTGCATTAGTTCTAATTGACGTAATTCGCATCTAATACTGTAAAACTGGCAATTTATAGTATTTATATAACTTGAAAGAAACCCCATTTTATTTATTCATTTAATTGATAAAACATTTAAATTCAATCATCTCGGAATTGTTTAAGGTAATGATTGATTATCTTTCTTTTGAAAGGTTAGGACAATGTATGTAATTTTCGTGTGTATGTATCGTTGCATAAATTTAGGATGGAAAAGGGGGAATGTGCCAAAGAGACAACAACCCGACCAAAGAGGAGAAAACAGCCCAAGGCCACTAAAAGGTCTCCACAGAAAGAAAATCCCGCACCCGGAGGCGGGCTTCAGCTGGCCCCTAAATAATAATGTGTACATACATCCGAGACATATAAATGAAATAAAATTTTTAAAAAACGTACACGACTAGCAGAGGCTGCTTGCTTGGGACAGGCGCAACAATGTATTTTCGTTAAATGATTTTCCGTTTTATTGTTGTTGTTATTTTTTGTGCTTACTTACATACAAATAATCTCTGCAATTTTAAACGTTTGATATCATGAATGATATATTGTATTGCAAAATTTTTGCTGTTAACAATTAACTTCTTGTACATTTTATTTTTTTTGATATAAAAGTGATGGCAATACCATTACGTAAAAAAACATAAGACGTGCGACAAACAACAGTCAACAATATGTCCAAACAGAAATGATTGTAAGGCAAACAACAGTAACCAAAACGTTCACAAAAAGCAAAACTCGAACTAAAGAAAAAGCTTGGATAAATATAAATGTTAGATACAACGGTCACCCGTCGTATTACTCCTGTGAAATGAAGTTGATAAGACATATTCGGCGATAATGCATAAATGTCTTGATTAGTTTCCAAAAATAGAAAGTTATGGGCACAATATAGGAAGTAAAGAGTAAAACCAATTAATAGTACAGAGAAAAGACAACCCATTGAAGAATAGATAATAGAAAGGTACTAAAAGAGAATGATATGGTGCTATTACATAAAGAATTGAGAGCAATCGGCAAAAAAGGACAGACAAATAGTTTTGATCGTTCCAGGTAAATACAGAAAAGCGCTTCGGAAGTATGCCGTCAAGTGTTATTTAATTTTTTTCATCGGATATTCCATTCACTTCAAATGTTATTGTTAACAGGAAATAGTACATGGGCGGATTAATGTTTTTGTTACTGTAATTTTATTATTTATTCGGAGTCTAAGTTTGAATGGTTTTACACTAGTAATTTTTGGGGCCCTTTATAGCTTATTGTTCGGTGTGAGCCAAGGCTCCGTGTTGAAGACCGTACTTTGACCTATAATGGTTTACTTTTATAAATTTTGACTTGGATGATGAGTTGTCTCATTGGCACTCATACCACATCTTCTTATATCTATTAACCCCGCCGTATTTTCACGCCTGTCTCAACTCAGGAGCCTCTGGCCTTTGTTAGTCTTGTATGTTTTTTAATTTTAGTTCATTTATATGTTTTGGAGTTTAGTGTGACGTCCATTTTCTTTGAACAAGTAGACATTTTTGTTTAGGGGCCCGCTGAAGCCCGCCGCCAGCTGGAGGATTTTCTCGCTGTGTTGAAGGCCCATTGGTGGCCTTGAGGTGTTTTCTGCTCTTTGGTCGGGTTGTTGTCTCTTTGACATATTACCCATTTCCATCCTCAATTTTAAATATGCCACAAATTATAAAGAATAAAGAAATGATAAAACTCCATCCAGACCCTCATGTATCAAGCTCTCATAAAAACTCCATCCAGACCCTCATGTATCAAGCTCTCATAAAAACTCCATCCAGACCCTCATGTATCAAGCTCTCATAAAAACTCCATCCAGACCCTCATGCATTAAGCTCTCATAACTCCATCCAGACCCTCATGCATTAAGCTCTCATAAAAACTCCATCCAGACCCTCATCCATTAAACTCTCATAAAAACTCCATCCAGACCCTCATCCATTAAGCTCTCATAAAAACTCCATCCAGACCCTCATGCATTAAGCTCTCATAAATCCAGACCCTCATGCATTAAGCTCTCATAAAAACTTTTGTTTTTCTTACAGTTAAAAAATTGAAATCTATAAACCATTATTGATTACTAGTAGTTATTTGTCAACACTTAAACATTACTGTATGAACAAATAAAGATGTAAACACTGGACTAAGCACTATGATCCTGTAGAATTGATATATACTTATTATACTGAAGTCAGTTTGCACAACTCTTACTGGAATATTCTTTATTAAACAGAATAACTTTGAATCCAAATATAAACTGAGAAAGTTCTTTACATGTCCTTGATGGAGGCACATATGATTACAAATTAAAGACTTGACTACATCCATTAACTTTTAAACTAAGGCCACCTCTTTACTGCTTTCCAAGATTTATTATCGTGTGGTGAACCTACAATGTCCCCATAACTATACAAAATTGAAAAAGAGGTAACTCGGTACTGACTAACAAAATTTTCTAACAATGAGATCTTAAAATAATCCACTACTTTTGTCATATCACACACTAGGTATATCTCAAACTTTACTGTAGACAGATTGCATTGGAGTAACATACTTTTTTTGATATGGTATCACAGATTTATTTAACTAGTTACAAAAATATAATTAAATGTAGCAGGATCAATATTATAGCATTATATGTATATTTATTAAATACTAAGTGCAAATGTAAAGACAAATGCTTAACACTGGTTTGTGTTATAAAATGAACGTTGATTTTTATAAATGGTACACCAACACTACTATGTTTATCACACGGCTCATGTGAAGTAGCTTTGAATAATCAAGTTGCTTCCAAGAATCACCTATCATTAGATCGATTTCACACATCTGTTCCCACAAAAATTAAATTTGATATCAGACTTGACACAATATTAAAATTGAGAATGGAAATGGGGAATGTGTCAAAGAGACAACAACCCGACCATAGAACAGACAACAGCAGAAGGTCACCAACAGGTCTTCAATGCAGCGAGAAATTCCCGCACCCGGAGGCGTCCTTCAGCTGGCCCCTAAACAAATATATATACTAGTTCAGTGATAATGAACGCCATACTTAACTCCAAATTGTACACAAGAAACTAAAATTAAAAATAATACAAGACTAACAAAGGCTAGAGGCTCCTGACTTGGGACAGGCGCAAAAATGCGGCGGGGTTAAACATGTTTATGAGATCTCAACCCTCCCCCTATACCTCTAGCCAATGTAGAAAAGTAAACGCATAACAATACGCACATTAAACATCAGTTCAAGAGAAGTCCGAGTCTGATGTCAGAAGATGTAACCAAAGAAAATAAACAAAATGACAATAATACATAAATAACAACAGACTTCTAGCAGTTAACTGACATGCCATCTCCAGACTTCAATTAAACTGATTGAAGGATTATGTCTTCATCATATGAATATCAGGCGAATATCAGGCACAATCCTTCCCGTTAGGGGTTTAGTATCATACCATCATAACATATATGAGAAGAACATAACCCGTGTCATGCCAACAATTTTAACATACATGTATATGCAAAATTCTTTTGATTTATAGACTTTCCTCCTGTTTAGTATGTTTGCTATTACATTTTGCGTTTTGTCTTTTGCGAGTTACATGTAGTCTACAATCATGCAGGTATGTTTTACTTAAAATTTGGTTACGCTGTTTTACGTTTCGTAAATTTAATCTGTAAACGACAAACTAAATATGTTTATGGTCGACTCGCTCTTTTTTTCTCTAATTGTGTTTTATTTGTCATACATTTGTTTTTGTTTAAACATGAACAGAACTTTGAGATAATTTCACATTATATTCCTATTTTAAACACATCTTTATAAACTCTTCTATATGTTGAATACTTAAGATATCATCTTGTTGTTTTCGATGATTTGAACGAATTTCAATTGAGTCGACCAAAGAGTTATTTCATTTTTTTTAATTACAAGATTTCTTAAGATATTTCTTCCCAGATCAAAAGATTTTGTGTTTTCTGTTACTTGATGGCAGACAAGTGTTTTGAGACCATTGCAGACAACGTTTGAAGCTCTTTAACTTCGTGTTTTATTCGGTCGTTTTAACGGTTTAGATTCGGACGTCACTAAGTTTATTTAATGCGGGGTATGTAACTATTTTTGTTTACAAACAGATGCTTGCAGTTATTCCTAGAGGAAAATTGGAAAGAGTTGCTACCTTATAAATAAAGAAAAAATGACATGGGATACTGCCTTTGTTATATACGTAGAATGTGTGTGTTTGTATATGTGCCTCACTTGAATAACATTTTAAAATACTCTTTATTTTCACAATTTTTTATTCTTTATATATTTTTAACATTTGTACTGTTCTGCTTCCAATTAATGTCACTTATATTCGAATATAAAAATAAAAGAAGGTTGGTAATTGATACATTTAATTCATTTTAAACGATCTCATAATTATTCAGAGTAACTATTATGCACCTGCTATGTGTAGTTAGTACAATATTTTCATTATTATCCTAAGGCGATATGCTTAAGACATGGTGCAAACTTGGCAGTATTTGAGACCTTGGATGAATTGCTGTTAATAAAACGTGAATTAAAAAAGATGAATACAGGTAAATTTACATAATTTAGTTTGTTTAGTTAATTGTTTTGTTATTACCTACATGGAGAATAGTACACATTTGTCATTATTTGCATAGATAGTTTAACAACAAAATGAGTTCGTGTTATATATTTCAAAACATAGTTATTGCTCAGTTTTCTGCGTTGCTAAGCGACTTATCATCGGTTTCCGTGGTGCTTCTGTCTCCCCCCCCCCCCCCCTTTTTCTTATGCCGTTTACATTCTGTAAATGTAAATCAAAGTAATGATAATAAAGTAAATGAAATAATGATAATGTAGAAAACGATTTCCTCTGTGATAAATCGATATGTCAAACACGGCTATGAATTAACAATGTGACTACTGTAGTAGTTCTTACTCTAAAATGTGAAATCCGCTGTTATCGTTTCCTTGCAAAAAATTAAGGAATTCATCAAAATTTGACATGTGGTAAATAAATCCAGGGCAAAAGCCTCTAACTCAAACAATGTTTTTTTTCGGACTTGGATAGTATTCATTTACTGCTATCATATTAATCATTGAAGACCTTTAAACCATTGCCAATATGCAGACGTTTGATTAAACAAGTGTTTTGTTTTAAAAATGTTTGTCTCATATTCATCCCCCATATCCCTTCTTCCATTATGTTTATATGCAGGATGGTCAACCAATTGTGGTTGTAGAGTCGAATGATAAAATCTGCAAATGAGGAAAAACGATATAGTCAAGATATTTGTAAGTGGCGTTAAACAGCATAAAAGTGAACGTGTTAATAGTTTTTTCAAGGAGTTTAATTGTTTTCTTCCTTTTATTTGTAAATTTGTTTACTTCTTTCCTTTCTAAATGTACGTGATGAAATTTAACTCGAGTCAATCGCCCAAGTGTTTTTAAAGGTGACTTCATATATAAAACACAGCGTATTAGTTTAAATAAAAACACAAGTATGAACAGAAGGCATTCTTTTTTTCTCTATTACACGATTGTTAACCTTGCGTAATATCTTAAAATGTTTTCCAAAGAAATAATTTCTCGTTAAACTTTATTAAACTTTCTCCCTTATCATCTCTTATCTTCCTTTAAAGTGGCAGATGTCTAACTTGTCATCAGGTCAAGTCATTAGCATTTTCTGAATTGAAATGACAACTTTGCGGCAATGAAGGCGTGAACTGTTAAATCTAATATATACTACATTTGTTTAAATACCTGTAATTTGGTAATTCTTTACTTTAAAAAAAAAGGTTTTAGTTTCTACATAGGTGGACGTAACATCAACAGATATATTTCTGGCGTAGATTGGAGATGGATAAGGAATGGAAAGATGGCCAAGATGAATTACTTAGCAATCGGTACTGGACAGCCGAACGGATTTTTTGGTAGCCCAAAAGACTGTTTGTTAATCTACGTTCATGATCGTTATAACCTCCATGACGGTTGTTGCGACTCCTCCTTTGAAGGTTGTATCTGCGAAAAGTAATTTTATTAGAGAACATTTTTAAGTATTTAAATGTGTTATGTCTAAAGTCGAATGCTTATGTTTGATATAATAAATCTGAATCTATTTATGTTTTATGCGTCTTTATCCGTTTTATCATTTCGATTTGTATATTTGAAATGGATAAACGATAATTCTTTTCAATGGAAAGGTTTGTAAGTATAAAAAGAAGAAGATATGATTGTTATGAAGTATTGTAAGGATGCACGAAAAAAATATATCACATTTCAAATAAAACACACAAATTAAAATCATTAAAAAAGTAGTTAATTAGGTTATCAGATGAATATGAGTTTCATCATAGCCAACCCAATAACCTTTCGACGACGGCCAAGCTTTAAGACGTCAAGGTTTATCGAACTTCAACTGCTTGTTACAATTTTCACAAACTTTAAATTTTTAATTTGAAATACCTCACTTTTTTTATTGAATGTGATACATTCCTGAATATAAATTCAATTTCTATATAATTGTAGAATTTACACATGTATGAATCCCTCTTCCCTTCCCCCTCCCCCAGTTGATATAAATGTCACATCAAAATATGGAATTATAACTGTTTAGATAAGAATATAAACAGCATTTTTAAACCAAATTACTTCCAAAAATATCGTTACATGAAACGTTACATGGACACATGTATAGCACTTTCCGCCTTCTTACAGAAATACTTGTATTGTTATCATACATTAAAATAACATTCGTAGCTAGTATTTTGGTAGATCTTGGTCAATAATCAAGACAAACAACGATTGGCCATATAACGCCGCCTCTTGAAAATTGAGCATTGTTTTGCTTTAATACATTAAGATATCTTTGGGAATGTCTGAGCATTAAATGATATGTCAGGAAGCCTTGGAATACATATTTTTGTCTCGTCTATACGGGACATGAGTTTAGGATCGAAATATGTCCCCTATATCAAAGAACAATACTCCACGCAAAACCGATTGCTTCGATTCATTAAAGCGTATTTAACTATTGCTACTTTCAAGATCATCAATCATGTCCTACTGAATTCTAGAAATATAAGTGTGAAACATCTTTGCTGAAGTACGAACCAACAAAACTGATCTTGACTTTATATCGTATGTTCTTTCCAACTAGTAAGCAACTTATATGTATATGTTGGAATTAAACCTTTCGTCTTATTCAAAACTGTCTTGCTCTTGAGTTTTTGTTTTTTTTTGTTTTTTTTTTTTTTTTTTAGAAAATATATTCTGTTTTTGTTTGACCACTTTCTCGATCTGTCCAACTTACTTTGTCATCTGTGGAAGATTTTCCCTCATTTCACTTTAAAAAAAATAATTTCAAAAAGTTCACTTCATTTTTCTTTAAGTGTGGCAAGTGTTCCTTGGACTCAAACGACATAAACCTGTAGTTTTACTTAGAACTTTTCTGTATGTTGTATGTATTTGTCCCATGTTTTCGGATAGATTCTGAGCATATATTTTTAGATGATACGGTGTTGTGCACATTTAATGAACTGATAATAATTAATATACCTGAACCATAAGGTCGGAAAAAAACTCAACCTTTATTCTGTCAGCATTTCGTTTGCAACACAACTGTCGATAACAGCTAGATTAAGGTTTCTGCAACGGTTTCTGCCTTCTGGTTAGCCAATTAATGTTTATGGGTACCTGGATGCATAGTCTGTACAAACATATATATATATCTATGTTAAGATAAAGGAAGTTGACCAACAACATATATATTGGTAAACGATGCAATTGTTACTGATAAGTGGATCTTTAGCAACTCTACCTTTCTTAACCCATCTCTGGCATTCCGGACATGACCATTAAAACTAAGCAATTACACTTAATATTCTTGGCCAGTGGAAATGTTTCATAGTCATAAACTTTTTATAGTATATATCATGACCTAATGCATGTAATGTCAAAACTGTCTTTTTTTAATTTTTCTAGGAACAATAATTTAAAATATTTTCTCCCCTGACTGTGTCCTCACGATCCCGTGAAGTTTATGAGATTTTAATGTAATTGAAGACTGTTTATCCGAGTCATCTGCAATAAACAATCTACTAGTATTTGAAAGAGAGGCGAAAGATACCAAAAGGATATTTAAACTCATAATGTCGACAATAAACTAAATTAAAAGTATGATCTGACTTTTTTGTATCAATCACCATGACCAACTCCTGTCTTCTGCAAATCTGAAAGTAGTAATATGGCAAAGTTCTGTTAAAGGATAATCATCACTGTACTTCTCTGTAAAATCCTCAATTCTCTTTTCCTCTTCTGACTGTCTCCTAATCTCTTCCCGAATCATAACATTTTTGTCGTAGGGATTCGAATGGAGGGTGATGCATGCATAGCAAGAGACACTTTTCAACGCGCCCGGTATCACATTTTTTGTAGAGTTAATTCGATTTCCTCAGTTTCCTAGTAACCTTGATACGTCTCTTCTTGATCGAAACCTGACAATTGAGCATCAGCAAATTATCGTCACCTTAGTTCAGCTCTTGTCTTCTCCGACTTACATAGTTTAAAACATCTGAATTTAATAAATGTACAAAATCATATGTGGTACTATCAACAATAGTGTTGTTAAAGCTAGTAGACGTGTAAGCGTTAACATAGTTACCTATGGTGAGGATGTAGATAGGGGTTTACAAAATAGAGAATAATGGGCAAAAAATATAAATAATTGGGAAAAATTGACCAAAAAAAAAAAGAGTACAAAAAAATGGACCAAAAAAAAAAGAATAGAGACTAGTGAGGTGCTTTAATATAAAGAATGGAGAACAATGGGCAAAAAATATGAAGAAAAAAGTAAAATAACGAAAATACCGAACTCCAAGGAAAATTCAAATCTGAAAGTCCCTTATCAAATCGCAAAATCAAAAGAATAGAGAAAAATGGCCTAAAAACTAAAGAATAAAGACATGAAAGACACCCACCACCACCATCCATTTAGATTCTCTATGATGTGCTCTACAAAATGAGTATCGAAACTAGAGTTTGATCATCTTTAAACGAGAAGGTTAACTTCCTTATATTCACAGGTCGAGCCATCTGCAAGGCAAATTCTTTACTTTTATTTGAAAATATATAAACATTAACATTTTGGTATAATTGCCAATCAGACAACTCCCTACTATGGACCAATTAAAACTTTATACAATATCTGGTTCCTTATTTGTGGAGACACCGATATATCGTACCAATTAGCCAATTCGTGTTCTGCCTCATAACTCTGTTGGAGCAGTTTTTGTGTCAGATGCAGACCTGTGTTAACTTTGTAGAAATGTTACGAGCAGACTCTTGTTAAATTTGTAGAAATGTTACGAGCTATATGACCAGCAGGGACATTAAAGGTATAGCCAAAATCATCTTAGGTTAGTCTAGCTCTCATTTCTACCACTCGGTCGATCTTTTTGGAGGTAGACTGTTAGTCCCGACTGTATCACATAAAAATACGGCTATTGTTTTATTAAAAATTTGCAGTAAAATTGAGAATTTTTTTAAAATAGATATTCAAATTAAAAAATATCTCCTTCGTTGGTTCATGTCTGTCATATTTGTTTTTCGTAAATTGTTTTGTTATAAATTAGGCCGTTAGTTTTTCTCACTTCAATTTTTTTATATTTTTCATATCGGGACCTTTTATAGTCGACCATACGCTATGGGTTTTTCTCATTGTTGAAGTCCGTTCGGTTGCCTATTATTGCTTACATCCACTTCATTTGAACTTTGCTGGATATTTGTCTCATTGGCATTCGTACCACATCTCCTTATTTTCATATAGTTCTGATTTTTTTTTCTGGTTTGAGTTTGTTCCTTGGTATTGGCATGAAAAAACAAATACAATAAGTTGGAAATCATTCTAATTTAAAGAAGGCATCTCTCTAACGATAATCTCTGATTCGTTGTCTGGTTTGACTTATATTTGGTCCCTTTTGCTTTTATTAGATCGTCAACGCTTTTATTACTTCTGGATTTTGGCCTCGAGTATAACTGAATAGACATTAATTGTCAGAATGTGCATCTGGTGCAGAAAACTGATACTGATGAGTATTAAGTTATAACTAACACTGTCTCCTCACCTCTACATGTGGACTGTTAGTCTCCGAGAGTTCACCAGGGCAGTAGCTAGTATTCCGTAATTCCTTTGTCGGATTTGGCTTACTGTTGGTAATTTTTTGGTTTTATCAGCTTTTCAACGTCTGTACCATGTTTAGGATTTTCAAATAGTTAAGCCTCGAGCACATTGAAGAGTAATTAATTGTCGAAATGCACATCAAATTTGTACTTAATATTATTATGGAATATATGTGTCAAAAATTGCCACTGATTTGTTCAACTTATTGTAGTCACAAATGCTGTTTTTTTTCTCCTTTATGATACATCATATTGCAATTACTAGTACTTGCCATTGAAAAGATGGATGCCACTAGCAGAGATTTAACTGACAGTATATGAGTTGAACCCCTGTCCACGTTGCCCAAGTTCTAGTTTTTCTGTGTAGTGGTTTGTAAATTGTTGTAAAAAAACACCTGTCTGAGACAGACAGCACGACATTCCAAACAAGTTAAAAGAACGAAAAGACGTCTTATAATCCACAAAGCATTACAATGAAAACTAAACACAAGTGAAAAGTAAAATAAAAAAAATACTGAACTCCAAGGAAAATTCAAATCGGAAAGTCCCTTATCAATGGCAAATCAAAAACTCAAACACATCAAACGAATGGAAAACAACTGTCATATTCTTGACTTGGTACTGGCATTTCCATAAAGTTCCGGATCAACTAGTGACACACGTCGTGCGTGATAACCTGCTGCAATCTATACCATGAATCAATACCATGAATCCAAGTTAATACAATTTATCAGTACATCAGTTTCCTATCATGAAGGGTTGCTGCATACATAGACACTTTCAGACCAAAGGTTAAAAGTGGTAGCAATTGAAAATTTTACAGACACAATCGGGAGTTTGTTTGGGCACTTTTTTGTCATTTAGCTCTTCAACTGTTTTGGTTCTTATACATCCTTGGTTTTCAAACAAAGAAGTATATCCAAACACAGACACGAAATCA